GCTTTTGTGTGGAGTCCACTGCACGCCCTAGTGTCCCACGCCAGCCCCTCTGCCGTCGGTCCAGCGACCTGGAGCACCCCTGTCACGTGAGAGGTGTTCAGTCTTTCCCGCTGACTGACAAGGAGCTTGCTGCAGGAAGAGTCTGGAAATAAATTACATGTGACATGAGCAGCCTGGACCTATGTGTTGCGAGTTTTGCCCCAGGATTTTTACTTCCCTGAGAGCATAGAACTGGAGCAGAACTGGAAAGGTGCCTCCAGGAGCCCGCACGGCCCTGCCAGTGGTGTGCGGAGCACCAGGAGCGAGGACGCCGGTCACACAGACCTGGCCGCAGAGCCAGGCATGCGCACAACCTCGCTTTCCCGTCTGCTCTGGAGACTGAAGAGCCCACACTTTCAAGACGCACAGCAGTCACTCAGTAAATGTCAATGCCTCACCCCGCAGGGGAATTCTGACCTAGAACCGCATCTCAACGGTCTCCCAGGCACCCCATGCACTGCTCTGTGTCTCCCCCGCCGCATGACTTCCCTGATGAAAGCCCTCCTTTCCCACAGAGTCCAAGAGAAGACTAGACTGGCAGTTGGAAAGACCCAAGCTCAACTCCCTGGGGCTGGGAGCACCCACAGGCACAAAGGCGCTGTCTCTGCGCCTTCTGCTCCCTAGCAGTTAACAGCGGCTGACGTGTGCACTGAAGCACCTGGGTCTCTCTCAAGGTTCTGGCACATAACGCACTCAGTAGCTTCCTCTTTGGCTCCAGAAAGTGGGGCAGAGCTCGCAACTGTCCACTTGAAGTCTGTAGAATCTGCAAGTCTGGACTCTGGCACAGAATAACACCGCTTAGAATGGAAGATCCTCCCTACAGGAGTGGGCTGCAGTTTGGGGGCTGGGTGCCCCAAGGCCCATGTGCTAAAGGCTTCACCCTGCACAGGACCTTTAGGAGGTAAGGCCTGGTGGGGGTCGCTGGGGTGCCTCCAGGGGCTGTGGGACCCAGCCCCTTCCTCCTCATGCTTCTCCGGGCTCACCAGGTGAGTGAATGCTCCCCACAAGCTCCTGCTGTACCTGCTGTCACTTGACCTTAAGCCAAAGTAAACCTTTCCTCTTTACAAGGTGATGGCCTCAAATGGTTTGTTACAGTGACGGAAAGCTGACTAATACAACTCTTGCCCTAGTGGAGCTGTGTATTATGATAAATAAATCACTCCAAACCGTGCCTTGCAGTAACAGCTGTTTACGCCTCCTCGAACATTTACAGGGGCTGGAACAATGGACCTGGGGGCCTCTGGGCTCTCAGCAGGCTCCGTGGTTCTAGGGCCTCACACGCACATAGGGGGCCACATCCCGGGACACGTCTGTCCCACAGCAGAGCCCACAGCAGTGGGAGGAGCTGCACTCTGGATCGGGTAGAACCCAGGGTCACGTGGTGAAGGCTGTGGACATGGCAGGGCCAGCAGCAGGACTGGATGACCTGCGAGGTCTCATAGGCCTTGGCTTGGAAGGGATCCAGCTGTGGTTGAAATCCATGGTCAGCTTCTTGAAATGCCCAATAATATTGTGGGGCCCTACATGGTCACTTTCTTCAGATACGGGAGGGAAGAGCAATGCGATCTTTCCCGTGAGCCAGACCCACTTCTCCTGCAGAAGGTCGCATCCCCCGCCAGCCCTGGGTCTGGAGCCCCGGGGCTGGACTCCTGCCTAGACCTTGCTGCTGCCCACAGGGGTGTGGCTGGGCAGGAGGAGGTGCCACCAAGCCCACCCTGCCAGGTCACGGGGGCCTGAGAATCCATCCATGAGAGCTCTTCTGTCCACCGGCGCTGGAAACCTCCAGGGACCAGGACACACTTGGGGAGTGGAGACCTGGACTGGGGAGCCCACAGCTCTCCTTAGGGACGTTCCAGATCCGACACTGAGCTCCACCCGACAGGCTCAGGCCAACTCACAGCCGGCTCAGCCTTGGCTTGCGCCCAGGGTCTGAGGAGAGACACTTCCTGTGCCCGGGAAGACAAATCTCAGGCTGCCAGCCACCGCCTGAGATACAGGTTTCCCTATTCTCACGGAGGCTCTGGGCCTGCACGCAAGCCCCAGAACCTGGGTTAGGACCAGGCTTAGGACGGGCTAAGGGACGTCATGCCCTCCACCACGCATCCTGCCCAGCGTTGGCCTCCAGCCTGTGACAACCTGGCAGGGAAGGCCTGCGGGAAGCTAGGGGCCCCGCACACAGAATCTGAGTCACAAGCACACATCCACGCCAGCACCCTGCCGTGCAGACAGCACCCACAGGGCATCGTCTCTGAGAACTAGAGCTGGACGATCCTCTCCGAGACCCCGTCCCTTCTCCCAGGAGCGAGCATCACGGCCGGCGCTGGGAGACCAGGTCCGAGACACTTCCTGGAAGGCGGTGACGGTAACCAGACCCATGAACCCTCCCACACCCCACATGCTCAGCTTGGGGACTGGAACCCCACGGAGACGGGCAGAGGCCTGGTGTCCATGCCAGAGGTTCTCACCTAAGGCAGGAGAGGGTGCCAAGGGGGGCGCCCCAGCCCAGGGCACCACAGCCTAGCTCCGTACCGGGCCAGAGTGGGGTATGCAAAGCCTCAGGCAGGAGCAAAGGTCAGAGTGTGATGCGGACATTTAGTATCGCCAGCTGCAGGGCCGCATGCCTATCATCCCAGGTACTCAGGAGGCTGAGGCAGGAGGCTTGCGAGTTCAGTGCCAGCCTGGGCCCCTTAATGAGACCCTGTCTTCAAATAAAAACTGAGAAGGGCTGGGCTTTTTTCAGGACAGGGTGCTTCCGGTTCCGCCCCCAGGATGTGGGGCAGTGGGGATAGCTGAGGTGGGGATGAGGGTGTGCACCTCGACTGCATCCTTCTGCTCTCTGCAGGACTGGCACCCAGAGCCACAGGGGACTGGGAAGATGAAACAGGATGCAGGAAGGGAAGGGGGAACCACATGGGAGGAACAGGAGAGCCTGGGCTAGAGGTCTCTCATGTCAGAAATGCTTATGATTAAGAGTTAAACCTGATTTAAATCCAGACTTATATAAAGAGTGAATGTAATAAAAATGTAAATCCTGCTCGCCTCCCGGACACTGCTAGAATAAAGTGAGACGCTCGCCACCACCCCAGGGTCCTAACCAGAGGGCTCAGACTGCAGAGTGCAGGCCCTACCCTCACCCTTCGAGTACACAGAACATATTTATGAGCATCTCAGTGCCCTATAGGCCACCTCGCTGCAGTCTGTGTCAGTAGCTCTGGGGTGCTGGACGGAGTCACTGACCTTCTGGTAGTGACCAAAGTGGAGGGGACAGGCCACACGCCAGGACCTGGACATCTAGTTGAGCATGGCACAGAGCTACCCAAGGGAGCTGGAGGATGCTAGTCGCAGAGAGCACCAGACAGTGCCGACATCCTGAATGGCACTCAGCAAGGAGCTGCACTGACCTCAGGATGTGGGGTCAGGAGCCCAGCACCGGCAGACAAGAGGGTGCCCAGCCCAGTGCTCAGGGCCAGACCGGCTTCCGGCCAGCGAGAGCTCTGCACAGAACAAAGCTGTGACATGGAGCTTGTGCTTCCTCAAGTGGGTCGGGGCACTGGGCACCCAGATCCTGAAAGCACTGAGGCTGTGGGGGCCTGGCCATGTGGCCATCGCTCCCGCACCCTGATATGCATCCGTCTGGAGCAGAAGTGTTAGTGACAGAACAGGCAGGGGCTGGGCACGGAGCAGCCTGCGCGGTGAAAATGTCAAGCCAGGAACAGGTGCCAGGTGCAGCGCTCCTGGAGGGAGCTGCCCCGCCTGCTGTTTACGGAGGAAGCACGCATCTGAGTGCAACCCCCCCGCCCCCCAGCGCTGGGCTGACTCCCAACCGGCTGCTCATTTTCCTGCCCTTGGCTCTGCCCTTAGGAAGCTGGGCAGTGTGACGGGGACATTGGGCCGGGCACAGGCAGGCCGGGCCTTTGTGCCACCAACCAGAGTCCACGGAGGAGCATGGGGAGAGCAGGGCTGAACACACGGACACGGCGGTGGGGGGGGGGTCCCAGGCAGGGGCTGAGAAGGGCGAGGTGGAGGCCAAGCTGAGCCCGGACTTCCTCCATCCCGGTCGGTGAGACCCACTCAGTGGTCGGCACAAGGAAGCCCACAGCTGTGCTGTGACCACCGGAGCAGAAGAGCTACATGCACAGCACACTCAAGGTGTGCCTCGCTCCCTAAGCCCTCCGCAGCCCAGACCCGTGTTTTCACGTGTGTGCCTCATCCGGGCCCAGGTCCTGCTATGACAGGCAAGACGTGGAGTGCAGCACACCGCACTTCTCAGAACACGGCAGAGGGCAGCTCCTCTCCCAGTGAAAGGGACCACTGCTGAAGCGCAGCAAAGGATCACAATGCGGTACGTATGCGCACCAGTTCCCACAATGCGTTTACATACGGCAAATATACACTAATAAAACAAGAGAAGAAAGCAAGCCACAAGAGACTTCAAGCCGTGTGGTGGAGTCCCCTGCTGTCGGCACTGGCTTAGCCCTTGGTTCCTCTACTCACGTAAGGGTCAAACGCCCTTGGTGGCGGTGACTTCTGTGTGGCCTGGCACTCAGGGATGGCCTCAGGCTCAAAGCCTTGGCTGCTGCCTATTTTCCCCGAGTCCTTGTGCACTCAGGGTTGTAGCCGCTCCCTCCTGACTGCAGAATGCTGCAGCGCGTGCTAAACGACGGCCTGCGTCCGTGGACTCACAGGGCTCCCATGTGTCCGCCCGGCCCGACACCCCACTGCCCTGCACCACAGAGCTGACCGCCAGGCGGGACCTCCCACAGACAGCCCACATCGGGTCGGGAGCGCATGTCCTGAGCTCAGCACCAGCCAGGCACCTGCAGCAGCAGCAACCCCGTCACATTAGCATCCTCCTGCCCCTCGAGCCTGTTTATCGGCTCCCCCGGGCAAGGCCAGGGCTGCAGCAGACACCCCGCCCGGGATCTGGCCCCGAGAGTCCCCGCTGCCCACACCCCACTGACCTTTCGAAGAAGGAAGCAGATCCGCTCGATGTTCCTCAGCCGCTCCCTCTTTGGGTGCACGGGGAGGAAAGAGAACAGAGTTGGGGGAGCAGGACCCGGAGCACAGCCCACTCCCTGGCCGTCCTTGCCACTGTCCCCGCTGCTGACGGAGCACTCACTGCATACCTGGGTCCTGGCCACCTTTTCCTGCAGGGCTGTGTCGGCTTCCAAAGCCACAGGAACACAGCTGTGTCGTCTCCTGCGCCTCGTTACCAAGGCAGCTTGGCTGCTGGAGACTGGGTGAAATGAGATCCACTGGGCTCTGGAGAGGACGGGACCGGGACCCTCCACATTCCCTGACTGAACTTAAAGACAGCGACTCCCATGCATCCCGGAGGCCCATGAAGCTGAAGGACAGGCTCACCCTCCTCAACACACAGGCACACACATGTGCAGACACGAAGGGCACACTAGGCGAGAGCCACACGCTGCTCCTTCTCCACAAGCCACGCCCTGAGGAACAGCACCTCCCAGGCCTTCCGGCAAGAGAAAGGAAGTGAAGGAGAGGAGAGGAGAGGAGAGGACACGCCCCTTCTGCCCAGCCCTTCAGGAGCGGTCCGAGGGTATTTGCAGCTTCAGTGCATCCTAAATCTAAATGGGAACCAGGATGCGGCAGGGGGGAACTGCTTGCCATGCACAAAGTCCCAGGTTCAATCCCAGGCACAGAGCGGGAAAAGGAAAAAGGCTCAGTGAGAAATGCAAACTGCAGGTGAGAAGCATTTGTGATCAAGCTCTCCCAGGGCCAGAGCCACCACCAGGGAAGGACGCGCTCAAACCCTGGGCCAAAGTGTTTCACTTCCACCAGGAGCCACACCTAAGAACTGGGGTCTGCGCTCCCCAGTTAGGATGATGATGCGCCCAGAAGCACCCAGGGCTTCTTCCGTCCCCAGGCATTTGGCTGCAGAAGGCCCGGGCCCTTGAAGGAGCCAATAAGCCTGAAGTGCAGCTCCGCTGGGAGTTTTAAAACACAGGGCTGGGGCACAGCCAGGCGGTGGAGCACTTGCTCAGCAAGCGCAAGGCCCTAGGTTCCAGCCCAGCACCCAAAGGAAGAAGAAAACAATGACAGTCGAGGCCCGCAGCTCTGCTACACGGCTCGGTCCTTCAGGGCTCCTGCGCACCCGCTGGCTGCAGCTCTGTGCTCACGCTGGCCTTTCACAGAGGCCCCAGGACTCCTCGTCCTCTACTCTAGGGGCCGGCGAAAGCCAGACAGGGACAGAAAGAAGGTTTCATGGCTCCTGGCCACCCTTGAGGAATGGGCAGGATGGCAGAGGGGCAGCAGACTTCCGCACCAGCAGCCACTCTGGATCAAGCCAGAAAACACCCAGAGGCTCCCCCTGTTGTGAGCCCAGGCCAGGGGGAAGGGGCTCCCGGCTCCTGCTTCCTGAAAAGGAGGCGCTCGCTCTGGGCCAGGGCTGCCACCCGGCAGGGGTCGCAGGCCAGGTGTGCGAGCCTGCTGCCAAGCCCGAAATGTCCCGGCCGTGTCCTTTCACACCGTGCATCTCAGTTCAGGCTGGCAGAGGGCAGCCACATGGATTCTAGTGCTCACAACCTTGGCACAAGACACTGAGTTTTCGAGTGGCCTTCAGGGTACTTTCAACTGGCTCTACACAATTGACAGGGAAGGGTTTGGCTCTGTTTAGTAAAATCCAAGACTAGAATCAAAGGGTGCCTCAGACACTCTAAAATCCAGTCTCCAAAGGGTCGTCCTGAGCAGGTGGTCAGAACCCAGGCATGGGAGACAGGCAGCCTAGGATCGAGGCCCTCTCCTGGCCTGGTGCTGTTGGATAAGAGGCACCAGCACCGGCACCGTTCTGTGAGCTGCAGGTTGGGGTAAGAGCTTGTCGGGTGGGGCTGAGGGAAGGATCGCAGGTGATGAATGCAAAGTTCCTAGCACACCGCACAAATTAAAGCAAAGTCACAGCTCTGGGCTGACGCTACTTCCCAGGGAGGGCCACAGAGGCCTGGCCCCACCATGCGTCATTGGAGCCCCACAAGAGTGCTCCCTTCTCCAGGGGCCACAGCTGCGGAGAAGCCTCAGTGGCCCTTTCCCTGGTGAGTGCTGCTGTCAGGGTAGGATGGCGTCGTGCAGGCAGGGCCCATGTTCTCCCTACAGCCTCTGACCAGAACACCCACAGGGCTCCGCAGACAGTCAGGAACCACGGGCAGAGGACCAAACTCAATACAGCCCGAGGAATGTGGCCGTGAGCCCATGTGGATGCCCTGCGTGAGCGCCATGCTTCAGGAAAGCCCTGTCTGAGGGTTTTCCTAAGGGTTGGTCCTGGCCTGGAACACAGGCTGCACTGACCACGGAAGCAAACAGCCAACACCCACTGTCCCCCATCAAAAATGATGTCCCCACTTCCCCGCTCCAGACCCCTTCATCTCCCTCCACAGGTCAGGGGCACAGCCAGGACAGTGGGAGGGCAGCATGCAGGGCCAGCCAGTCAGTCACACAGGAAGCCAGAGCCTAAACCATGTCCAGCACACCACGTCAGCTTCCCCAAGGGAGGTGAGCCAGCCTCAGGCCACAGAGCCGCCTGGCAGGAAGGAACACACACTGGTGATAGAACTGCCTGACAAGAATACACAACAACGATAGAACACCTGATGAGAACATGCTGGTGACAGAACCACCTGTCGGGAACACAGGCTGGTGACAGAACCACCTGAAGGAACACAGGCTGGGGACAGGGGATCGGGAACTCTGCACTGCCCACCCTCCACAGAAACCTGGCACCAGGTACAGGGAAGAGGATGATGTACCCGCATGCTTCTAGCCTCACCTGAAAGTGTGCAGGCCACATGGGGCCTTTTTCTTCAGTGACAAGAACCAAAAGGCACTGGGACTGGGTCTTGGGGACACAGTGTAACAGACCCTCCCCTGGGTTACTGGGACCTTGGCCTGTAAGAGATCTCAGACCCCAGCAGCGTCCAGGGCAGGACAGTTCTCAGCAACCTGAGCCAGGTGAAGGGCAATTCTTCCCTCCCTCACACCTGCCCTCTTCCACGAGCCCCAGGTGGCCCGTGGTGACACAACCTTCCTGTCCCTGGCACCCCTACTTACCGCATGAACAGGGTTGCACTGGTCTATGGGGTTCTTGAAGTCCGTCCTGAGTTCATCGAAGGCGATTATCTGCAACAGACCCACAGAATCAAGATGTCAGTTGCAGGCAAGTCCACACCCCAGGTCACAGCTTCAAAGCGGCACAGCGGGAGGGAGAGGTGGTGACCTGGCCTGGCCAGGAGCCGATGCTGCTGATGGGCACGTGGGTTGATGACTACCTCCCTCCCGCTGGGCAGGCTCAAAGTCTCCATGTGACTTTCTTTAAGTCATCTGTCCTTTCCAACAAGGTAGAGAAATCTGTGGTGAGGGTTGGGATTTAAAGGCACAAAAACTTAAAATGTCAAATCAGCACTGTCAGCCCCTTCCTTTACTGGAAGGCAGCAAGGGGTGTGTATATTTCATGTGCTTTGGCAGAGAAGCGAATTCAAAGTAAAATGGAAAAGGGAGAAAGAGCAAATAACGAAGCTTAGAAGATGCGTGGCCATGGCTCCAGATGAGCACGAGGGCGGCTGGTCGGCTCCTTGGTGCTCAGTGCCCAGGACTCTGTCCCAGGGGTCCTTAAGAACCACAGCCTCAGCACTGCCCAGGGAGCAGCAGTTTCCCCATGCGTCGGAGGGGCCATGGTGGCCTTCTCCAGCCACAGAATGGGCATGGCCACCCACAAGAGGAGCTGAGGAGAAGGCTCTGCAGCCCACATCTGAACCCCAGCCCCGTCCGCCACTGGACAGGACAGTGGGACTGTGTTTGGGTGGGGCATGTGCTCCCCTAGGGTGTTGTGTTTCTATCTAGATGTCCCCAGGAGCCCCAGGTGCTCCCAGGCAGGGCTTCCAGAGGAGGACTAAGCCACACAGGCGCCACAGCGGACCGAGCTGAGGGTGAGGCCTGACTGGGGGAGGTAGTCACTGGGAGCTCGACCGTCCTCCACTGCTTCTGGACTCTCCCTGCCTCCTGGCCACCATGACTCGAGCAGCCCCTCCTCCACCAGGTCCCTCTGCCGTACCGATTCCCCTCTGGAGTCAGCTAACCATGGACTGAACTATGGGCCAAAATATACCTCTCCCTTTTCAGATTTTTTTAATTCTCTATTAAGTTTTGGGTGTAGACCTTTGTGTCCCAATGACAAGAAAGTAAGACAGGTACGGCGGCCTTCACTGCTCTCAGTAAAACCTCTATCCCCCTGTGGTTTGGATCTGGAGTTTCCCCAGAGGCCCCTGGGAGGTGGCAAAGCCTTGAAGGGCGGGTCCTGCTGGAGGAAGTGAGGTCACCAGGTGTGGCCTGGTTGCGAGGTTGGGACCCCGCCCTTCCTGGCTGCCTCTTTGTCCCTGGCCCCTGAGGTGAACAGGCCTCCTCCTCCATCACACCACTGGCATGTGCTGGGCCGGCTCAGGCCCAGAGCACCAGGCCAGCCTCTGCAACCTTTGAAACAACCCCTTAGAAGCTGTCACCTTTTTGTCACAGTGATGGAAAGCTAACTGACACACCCACTGAGCAAAAATGGGGAAGCAGCCGCCCACCGAGGCACAGCCCAGGGGTCTGAGGTACACAGCTGAAGCAAGGCAGTCAGCTCGTGACCCTAGGTGCCCCAGCCCAGCAGCACACGGCTGAGAGGAAGCAGCAAGTGGGGAGTGGCTTCCCTTACAAACCATGCGTGACTTTACAGCAGGCGTGAGTGTCCGGATTCCAGCACATGCACAGGGCTGGAGCAAATGCAGCAGGCACCGTAGTGAGAGGACTCCCCTCTGCCACCCTCGCTGGCCGTAATTATCTGCCCCGTGTACACCCTGCGGGACCAGCTCACCCCCCACCAGGGAGGTTCGCTCCATCTCTGGCTCCCCAAACCACCCAGCCCTTCCTTCCTTGATCAGACACAGGACTCCAGGAGCCCCCCGTGGGCAGGCAGCATCAGCAGACCTCAGCCTGCAGGTAAAACCCAGCCTACCACCCTTGCGTATAAAAATGGTTTCCATGTTTTTAAAGAATGGGAAAAATCAAAAGAAGAAGAGTGTTCTGTGACATGTGAAATGATACCACTGCAGGTTTCAGAGCCTAAGGTCCTCCCGGAACACAGTCCAATCCTTCTTTCATCCGCACTGCGTCAGCATGGGGTGGCGGAACTCAGATCCCAGGCCCCACAAAGCCCAAATCGTCTACTCTCGTGCCTTCCACGGGAAGAACCTGCTGATGCCGGCCCAGTCTTACTCTGGTGTCGAGAGCTGCACTAGCCAAGACAACAGCCACTGGCCAGATGTGGCTACTCAGATGTAAATGTTTACTAATTAAACTTCAGTTCGTAGTCATATTTTAATTGCTGAAAACCCTACGTCTATGTGCTAGCTGTCAGGTAGCCCAGGTACCACTTCTGTCCCTGCAGATGGCTCTGCAAGCCAGCCCAATCCCTGAGCCCCAGGGAGCCGTGGTGACCCCTGCTCCTCTTTCTTTGCCGCGCTGTGTCCCCAGCTGTTCTTCACACAAAGGAGAGCTAAGTGCCTCCCCGACCCACTGTCCTCGCTGACAGGACAGGCAGGACAGCGAGCCTGCAGTGTGAGTCCACACCCAGCACCTGGTCCAGGGCACGGCTGGCGGCACCAACCTTCCTCTGTCTGGCAGCCCATGCCTCTGGTAGCCCATCCCACACGGGCTTCCTGTGGCCACGTCACAGGCTGGCTTTGAACCAAGCGTCTTTACCTGAAGCCCGGGGTCCCTGTCACGTACTCAGGCCAACCCAGACACACCCAGCCCAGTCCCTGCAGCCCCAACCCGCACCTCCTCAGGCCGAGAGCAGAAGGCTGCTCTCAGGATCCCAGGAGTGAGGCCCCAAGGCCCACGCAGACCCCATCTGAGCCCTGACTTGGCAGCTGCCCCTCCCATGCCCCAAAAGGGTAAGAAGAGAACTCGGAGTCCTGAGGACCCCAGGATGTGTTGGCACTGCACGTGGCTCTAGGACACAGCAGAAAGGTCACAGTCCGGGCAGGGGTGTGGGAGATGCTGAACAAATCGATAAGAAACCCGAGAGAAGCGTGGATCGCGTGAGGGGCCTGGGAGCCCCTCGAGAAGCTGTCACACAGCTGTAGGACCTGCCTGGCCAGGGGGCCGACAGGGAGAGAGAGCCCTGGGAAGAAGGTCCAGGAAGGGGTCATTGGCAGGGCCTTGGAGTGGAGGCACAGCGCCGAGGAACAGGCCAGAGGGCACGGTCCACAGTGCCCAGGTTGGGAGGCCACGGCTCCCTGGAACCCATGCCAGTGTGGACCCGGGACACTGACTTGCCACCTTCCGGGCAGGCTCCGCCATCACTGTCCTCGGCCCTCAGGTAACAGAGCAAAGCCACCTGCACCCTACACCTCGGGCCTCAGCCAAGGGAGCAGCAGGCAGGGAGGTCTCGCCTCGCAGAGCCACTGGGCCAGGGTGACAGCCAGGCAGGGAGGATGATAGGAGGCCTGTGCTCTGCTGGCTTCTCACCGCATGGGTGACGAGGCACTGTGGACAGCACAGGCCGGGGGCCATAGGAGAGCAGCAGCTGCATCCCATCTGCTCTCCTGGGCCCACCCAGCCCCAGCGCCACAGGCCAGGAAGCCAGGAGCCCCAGTGACTGGCTGCATCCCCAGCCTCGGCCCTGCTCCTCCAGCTAGCTCTGCTCTGTTGTCCCTGGCTCTCAGCACGAGGTGGCAGGTGCCATATCCGCCTCACAGCCTGGAGACTTGCTGGCACCTTTGGGGGTCAAAACCTTTGCCTCCCTCCGTCTGGTCCCAGTGGCCTCTGTTCTGGGGTGAGCAGAGCCTCTTCCAGCACGTGGGCCTGTGTGCCCAGGGCCAGCTGCACAGCTCTGGGGCGTGCATGCCCAGCACCCAGATACTGTCCATGAGGAGCCAAGTTATCCATTCCAGTGAACGCTGAGCATCTGCTGGGCCAGGCGCTGTGGAAGGAGGAAAGCCAGGTGGCCTCCCGCCCCCTCATCCTGCCCGCACTCGATGACACTGCAGGCCGGGCAGAGCAAAGCATGGATGGCCCCGGGGCTGTGGTTCCTTCACCAGGCTGAAGGTGCTGTGCGCAGGCCACAGCGATGCTCAAGCCAGCTTCCACTCCTCGAGGCTGGAGGAAGGAGGCAACTGGGCTGCGCTGCAAGGGGATTCCGACGGGCCCCTGCTGGCCTCCCCTGCTTCCAGCAACCAGGAGCTGAGCAGCCCTCTCTCCTGTACAGCTCTCCATGTTGTACTGCTTCAGGCCAGCACCATCACGGACTGAACCCTCAAACCCTGAGCCACACTAAACTTCTTTAGGTTGACTTCTTGGGCATTTTGTCACCATGATGGAACACACCCAAACTCATGGGTGTACAGTCCTCTACTCTATGAGAAATCATGCTGCATGGTCCTTGGATCTGGACCTTGAGTGATCCAAACCCCATGTTGAGGTTGTCCTGGGAGATTACGGAAGTTTAAGAGGTGGCGAGTCCTAGGTCCCTGGGACCCCTGAAGGGAGCCATGGCAACCCGGGCATCATCTTCCTCCCTTCCTCAGAGCCCCGGGCCCAAGGTGAGCAGGCTGGCCCTCACGCGTCCCTGCCATGAAATGCTGCCTTGCCACAGGCTGGGAGAAGTGGGTCACCGACCACAGCCAAACCTCCAGAACCACGAGCCAGGTAAACCCCGCCCCATCACGGGTTGATTCTCTTAGGTATTTGGTTGCAGAAATGGGAAGCTGACTAACACAGGTGGTTTACTAAAAATATATAAGATATTGAAAACTAAATGAGAACAAAAAACGAAGAAAGACACACACAGCACAAGGGCTCCAGAGAGAGAAACCTGCTGGCTTGACATTTTGGATCTAGGTTTCCCAGAAGCTCAAGTGAAAAGAGAAATAAACCAGCTACGACAGAATTCCAGGGTCCATGAAGGAAAAGGGAGACCAGTTCCTTAGGGAAACGACTCCCATGCTCCTAAAAGGTGCTGACTGGGCTGCAGCTCAGAGGAAGAGCACCTGCCCGGCATGGGCGAGGTCCTGGGCTCGGTCCTCGACGCGAAGGCTGAAAACCTGTGGGCAGCGCAGTGCTGGGAGCCAAACCCAGCCTCA